TGTTGGTAACGGCCATGTTAGACCAGTGTTTGCAAAGGTTGAGGCAATTGTAAATTTTCCAGCACCTCAGTGTAAGAAAGAACTGATGAGATTCTTGGGAATGGCGGGGTACTATCGAAAATTTTGCCCTAACTTTTCGACCATTGCTAACCCATTGACCTGCCTCTTGAAAAAGAATAGCAAATTTATTTGGGATGAATCATGCCAACAGGCCTTCCAACAAATCAAAACAATTCCCATGGTCTCTCCAGTTCTTTCATCACCAGATTTTGATAAAGAATTTTTGTTGCAAATTGATGCTAGTGATGTGGGTTGTGGGGCAGTTTTGTTACAAGAAGATGAAAATTATGTTTGTCATCCTGTTGCTTATTTTTCCAAAAAGTTTTCAAAATGTCAGAAAAATTATTCAACTGTAGAAAAAGAGTGTTTGTCTATGTTATTAGCTTTGCAACATTTTGATGTGTATGTGAATTCATCTGTACATCCAGGTGTTGTTTTCACTGACCACAATCCACTCACATTTGTTCACAAAATGAAAAACAAGAATCAAAGGCTTATGAGATGGAGTTTGGAATTACAAGAGAAAAATATTGTCATAAAACATATTAAGGGAAAAGAAAATTTAATTGCAGATGCTTTGTCAAGAGTATAGGTTAATTAAAATGTTGTTTTTTGAAATGTATGTAAATTTTGTGAAATCATGATATTGTTTCATTGTAACTGTAAAAGTTTTCATTATACTCAAACTTTTCTTTAAGGGGGGAGGTGTTACGATACTCTAAAATTATTTATAGATATTGCGTCACTATAGCTATTATTTTTATTGTGTGACGTCACGTTTCCTTTCGGAAGTTCTCGGATATCGAAAATACAGCCGAGGAACACCAGCACGCCAATGTCTGCGACACAGGATTCAAGAGACTTAAGACACTTGGCACGAGAATAATGGACTTTTCATACTTCATAATTCGGCTTGGGCTTTGGGCTAACCGTGGAAGTATTGTAGTGTAGATAGCGATCGGTGTCCGTGGAGCTTGAGGACTTCCCTTTTGATTAACAGCTGAGTAAATTCTGTCCGCTATTATTGTTTACCTTTTTGTGTGTGTGTAACTGTAATTGTATGTGTTAATTTAGTATGATTATTTGTCTTTACCATTAAAATTTGTTAAAGTTTTAATTCGTTTTGCCTGGTGTGTTGTTGTAAGTGTGTCATCGGGAGCCAAAAATAGATTTGTGTATTCGGCACACGTTACACTTCTCATCACCGTTCGAGAATACAAAGGATTTGAATATTTCTTCTGCCTCTGGCTCCATGGTGTATATTAATTAACTTATTTGTATTTGTTCATCCCCGTCAGTCAGTTTAGTTGCAATCTGAACCTGCGTGAATCGTTGTCTCTATTCCGGCCATTCATTTAGCCTGGTAAAGGCAAAACATTCATGAAAGAGAAAGTAAAAACTCGGAAATAATAAGGGAAAATACAAGTTATCAAAATATAAGACATTGAGAATCTGACTAAAATTATTCCTACAAACTGTTAGGATGTAATGAATGTTAATTAGCCTGACCCTTTTGTGTACTTGTGTATTACGTCATCACTTTATGTTATTGAATAAAATGTTGAACTGAAACATGGTGTCAGATGTGAAGCTCTCAGCAATACGCCACGACACCTGAATACTAGCGAGTGCAGGGACAAATGCCATACGACTTGTGAGAAACCAAAGCCAAGATATCGGGTATAGTAGCACAGCCCAGAGAATTCTGGTATTTTCTTCATTTTTGCTCGCTGAAGTAAAACGTCCCAGCATCACACGTGGTTGGCACGCCGCCTGTTTTTTCTATCCAAGAATGCGCAGACTTCTGTTGTGGTGTAGAATTGACATTGAGTTACATTAAGTGTATGAAACATTCACGCAATATTAATCTACATTAATATATGAGACGTACCTTTGATACTCATACATTTTTTGCCATACAAAGCCACGGAACTGTTCATACTCATAGTCATAGCACAATGGCATCTAAAGACTTACCTGTACCAGCCGCTATGGTAGTGAAAGTTGACATCAGGGGCAACTGGAAATTTTTCATATTCACAGTGGGCCAATTATGAAATTGCCACAGGCCTTGTCAAGAAGGAACAGCCTATTCGGATAGCAACAATACTGACAGTGATGGGTAAAGACTGTTTCCAAATATATGAAAACTTACCACTCAGTGTTCAAGACAGAGAAGATATTGACAAAATTCTAGAAGCATTAGACGGTCACTTTATGCCCAAAACAAATGTGATCTATGAACGATATATCTTTAATACAGCAGACCAGATGCCTAATGAATCGTTTGACAATTACTTGTGCAGACTACGACAACTTGCAAAGACATGTGAATTTGGTGATATTATGGACCAAATGATTCGCGATAGGATAGTACTGGGAACCAAGGACCAAAGTGTTCGTGGACGATTGCTCAGAGAATCGAAGCTCACACTTAACAGCGCCATAGATATATGTAGAACCAGTGAGAACTTCCAGTCAGCTTAAGAAACTACAAGGACAGAGTGACACTAATAACAATAATACAGCTCAAGTCAACTATGCAGCAAGAGGAAATAAGAAGCACACGAAAGACACGAAGCAAACAAAGTCTTCTACAAATCCGCCAAAATACCAAAGCAAAGGAGATTCCAAATATAACATGTGTAAATACTGTGGTGGAAAGCATGCAAGAGGAAGAAACAAGTGTCCGGCTTATTGACAGACATGCAACAAGTGCAAAACGAAATATCATTTCGCTTCAGTGTGTCAGAGTGCTTCAACTTGATGAAACTGATGACAGTAGTGATTGTGAATCTTGTTACACAGTGAAGACGACACATGGTAAACAGTGGTTTACAAAAGTCAAGATGGTGATTGACGACGCAACTCATCAAGATGTAATCTGTCAACTGGACTCGGGATCAACATGTAACATTCTTGGATTTCGCCAATACTGCATTCTTATCCAGAATGGTTGTCCGCCATTGAAACCAACCAGCAAGGCTCTGCGACTTTATGGTGGAACATCAAAGCTCGAGCCTTTAGGTACTGTTGACATTACCTGCTCAGTACAAAGCAACACAGAATGACTGAACTTTTATGTGGTGGATACAGATCAAACCGCACTGCTCTCGGCAGAAGCATGTGAAAAGTTAGGACTGTTAATTGTGAATATTGTGAACAGTGTTGATACATCAACTGAGAAGAATGTTGAACCACTGACGCGCAGTCAGCTGTTGACCACATACCATGACGTATTCGAGGGACTAGGATCTTTCCCAAGCGAGTACAAGATTGAAATTGATCCGACTGTTAAGCCAGTTCTGCATCAACCAAGGAAAGTTTATCAAGCCATTAAGCAGGAAATTCACACGAAGCTGAATGATCTCGAGAACAGAGGTGTGATCAAGAAAGTTACTACCCCTTCAGACTGGATAAGTAGTATGCTTACAGTGAAAAAACCTGGAAAGATACGCATATGCATTGATCCCAGAGACTTGAACAAAGCTTTCAAGTGACCACACTATATCATGCCTACCCTTGAGGACATATTACCTAATCTTGCAAACGCAAAAGTATTCTCCGTCCTCGATGCAAAAGGAGGATTCTGGCACATCAAATTAGATGAATCTAGCAGTTTCCTTACTACATTCTGAACCCCTTTTGGTCGATACAGATGGTTGCGTTTACCCTTCGAAATTTCATCAGCGCCTGAAGAATTCCAGCGCAGAGAACACGAAGTGTTGGAAGGACTATCTGGAGCAGAATGTGTGATGGATGATATCATAGACTACGGCTGTGGACAGACCATGGAATCAGCGATTCGAGACCATGACCGCAACTTGACGGCAGTTCTAAAAAGAGCTCGTGAGGTGGGACTAAAGCTTAATAAGGACAGGTTCAAACTTCGTCAGACTGAAGTCAAATACATTGGCAGTATACTTACGGCAGAAGGTGTCCGCCCTGATCCAGACAAAGTTAGTGCCATTACAAACATGAAAAAACCTGAAAATGTGAAAGCAGTGCAACGCTTTATTGGTCTAGCAACATACTTGTCTAGATTCTTACCTCACCTATCAGAAACCTGTGAACTTTTGCGACGTCTTACAGACAAAGGAGCCATATGGTCTTGGCAATCGCAGCAGGAAGAAGCATTTCAGAATGTCAAACGTCTTGTGAGTCATAAACCTGTACTCAAATACTATAATGTACATCAGGAAGTCACAATTCAGTGCGGTGCTAGTGAAGTTGGCCTCGGAGCCACATTACTGCAGAATGGACAGCCCATTGCTTATGCCTCTCGTGCATTATCTAAAACTGAACAGTGTTACGCACAGATAGAGAAAGAGTGTCTTGCAATTGTTTTTGCATGCAAGAGATTTTACCATTACATATATAGTAAGGATTGCATAACAGTACAGTCAGACCACAAGCCTCTTGAAACTGTCTTCAGGAAACCTCTCTTGTCAGCTCCAAAACGACTCCAGCGAATGTTGCTACGCCTCCAGAAATACAACCTGGATGTTGTTAATACTAGAGGAAAAAAGTTGTTCATCGCAGATACCTTGTCTCGCGCGACCCCAGAGTATCAAGGACAGAACACTTCCAAACTCGCTGAGGAGATAGCACACATCCAACAGGCAGAATGGGTTAGAAAGGTCACAGACTCAAGACTGAATCAAATCCGAGATTTGACAAACAAGGATGAGACTCTCCAGTCACTAAAGACAGTGACACTGTCAGGATGGCCTGATACTAAGGAAGATGTTCCTATTCCAATACGACCATATTGGAATATCAGAGACTCTCTCACAGTACAAGATGGCATTATTTACCGCAGCAGCCGTGTTGTAATTCTCAAAGCTTTTTGACCGGAAATGCTACGCCGCACTCATTCCAGCCACTTAGGAATTGAGGCTTGTCTACGGAAAGCTAGGGATTCGCTCTATTGACCTCTCATGAATGAGGAGATCAAGGATTTTGTCAGCAAGTGTAGCACATGCAGCACATTTCAAAGGAAACAACAGAAAGAACCATTAATGACACATGATGTCCCAGACCAGCCATGGTCAAAACTTGGAATTGACATGTTTACTCTAAAGACTGAGGATTACCTTGTCACAGTTGACTTTTACTCAGATTTCTTTGAGCTCGACCTACTTCCAGATACCACAGCAGCCACAGTAATCAGCTGTTTGAAACTACATTTCGCACGTCACGGAACACCTGATGTAGTAATTACCGACATCGGCCCGCAGTTCAAATCAACAGACTTTCATGATTTTTTATGTAATTGGGAGTTTCAGCATGTAACCTCCTCCCTTTATTATAGTCAGTCAAACGGAAAAGCAGAAGCAACGGTGAAAATCGCAAAGAACATGGTGCGCAAGGCCAAGAAGAACGGAGATGATCTGTGGTAATGCGTCCTAGATTGGAGGAACACCCCAACAGTGGACATGGCCAGCAGTCCGTCACAACGACTCATGTCACGAAGGACCCGACATTCCTTACCCTTATCGCCGGAACTACTCCAGCTTAAACTTGTCGACGATGTAGCGGACAAAGTTAAGTTCAAGCGACAAAAGGCCAAATTCTACTACGACAAATCTGCTAAGGAACTACCAGAACTCGAAATTGGTCAACCAGTCCGCATGAAACATCATACAGAAAAGAAATGGAGTTACGGTATTTGCGTGGATAACATCGGCAATCGCTCTTACATCGTAGATATCAACAATAAACAATATCGACGAAACCGAAGAGACCTTCGCGCAACAAACGAGCCATATGATGCCACCACTCCGTCGTTTATTCCAGAATTTGAGGATTCACTCGATGCGCCCTCAGTAACTTCCGAAAAATCCAAAGTGAATGACCTTAAAGTTACCAAAACACCAACTCCTCAAAAGCCGAGTGAACCAAAGACTGTTACCGCCAGCCCAGTTAACCGCCGAACAAGTTCGCGTGCACCAAGGTTACCAAAGAAACTTGAGGACTATGTTTTGTGAATATGATATTTGTGAAAAGTATAATTTCTGTTTTGCAATTATCTTCCTGAACTTTTCAAATGCAGAAGGTTTCATGTGAAAATTTACATGTATGCTGTAATTCAGTTTTTATTTCTATAATGCAGAAAATACTGATGCTTTATGTTTCAAGATTTGTTTACATATATATAGCAAGAACATTTTGATTGATATTGTCTAAAGTTTAAACTTAAAAATGAATTGCCAATCATTATCAAAGGAAGGGAGATGTTAGGATGAAATGCATGTTAATTAGCCTGACCCTTTTGTGTACTTGTGTATTACGTCATCATTTTATGTTATTGAATAAAATATTGAACTGAAACACAAACCAGAGTTAGGTAACCAATTCCCTGAAAAAGGCAAAATATAACCTAGTACAAGCATTTTTAAAACTTTCTGATCCAAAATTAGGTCTTTTGACTCTTGGCTAATTTATGCAACGGTATCTTCAATTCAATTTAAGTTAAGAGTTATTTTTTTAATAAAAGAAACCAATTTAATCATATCAATAATTTTAAAGCACTGTGATTAAAGTATGACATTTTTTTGTCGGATCAACACTATAAAAAATACTATATTTAACTATAGCAGGGTTCTCCATGAGCTGTTTTACTGTGTTGCTCCCGATACAGTAAAATTTTCTCCTACACAGTAACGATTCAAATTTCATGCATGCGACACAGTAAAAATTTTGCCGACACAGTAAGAGTTGAGATAATTAGAAAATCTAAACACACAAATTTTCTCTAACTGAAACTTTAATCAAAAAATTATACCGTCTTTCATTTCAAAAAGTTAATAACACTTAATTACTAGGGCTTCACCTTGAGTAATCAATCAATTATTGTTTACTATAGTTAACCATAGTTATAACCTTGACACTTTAAAAACTTTGATTTACTTTAGAGATCATTTTGACACTTTCAAAAACTTTATCGAAAACTTATCGAAAACTTCGACACTTTCAAAAACTTTGGCGAAATCTTTGACACATTGAAAATCTTTAATGAAAACTGACACTTTGAAAAACTTTGGCGAAATCTTGGACATTTTGAAAAAAATTGACACTTTGATTAACTATGGTTAACTTTAGTAAACTATAGGTTACTATAGTTCTTTTTTGTCAGGGAAGTATCGTTTGTCCGATATAAATAATGTCAGATCTATGGTGAATTTTGAGTTATTAAAAAAAATTAATGATATTTCTCTCAATAGAAAGCATACATGTACAATTGTGTACCACAATTATACTTAATTTTTCTTATAATGTTCCATCGAAAGCGACATCTTTAGAAAGTTTGAAGAACAAGGTCGTCCAAGGCATAGTGATTTCACCATAAATTGACCTGGGTGCAATACTGTCACCTGTGCAAACAATCCGTAATTGACCTGGGTGTAATATACTGTCATCTGTACAAACAATCCGTAAATTGACCTGGGTGTAATATACTGTCACCTGTACAAACAATACGTATATTGACCTGAGTGTAATATACTGTCACCTGTACAAACAATCCGTAAATTGACCTGAGTGTAATATACTGTCACTTGTACAAACAATCCGTAAATTGACCTCAGTGTAATATACCGTCACCTGTACAAACAATCCGTAAATTGACCTGGGTGTAATATACTGTCACCTGTACAAACAATACGTATATTGACCTGGGTGTAATATACTGTCACCTGTACAAACAATCCGTAAATTGACCTGGGTGTAATATACTGTCACCTGTACAAACAATACGTAAATTGACCTGGGTGTAATATACTGTCACCTGTACAAACAATCCGTAAATTGACCTGGGTGTAATATACTGTCACCTGTACAAACAGTCCGTAAATTGACCTGGGTGTAATATACTGTCACCTGTACAAACAATCCGTAAATTGACCTGGGTGTAATATACTGTCACCTGTACAAACAATCAGTAAATTGACCTGTGTGTAATATACTGTCACCTGTACAAACAATCCGTAAATTGACCTGAGTGTAATATACCGTCACCTGTACAAACAATCCGTAAATTGACCTGGGTGTAATATACTGTCACCTGTACAAACAATCCGTAAATTGACCTGGGTGTAATATACTGTCAACTGTACAAACAATCCGTAAATTGACTACTGTCACCTGTACAAACAATCCGTAAATTGACATGGGTGTAATATACTGTCACCTGTACAAACAATCCGTAAATTGACCTGAGTGTAATATACCGTCACCTGTACAAACAATCCGTAAATTGACCTGGGTGTAATATACTGTCACCTGTACAAACAATCCGTAAATTGACCTGGGTGTAATATACTGTCAACTGTACAAACAATCCGTAAATTGACCTGGGTGTAATATACTGTCACCTGTACAAACAATCCGTAAATTGACCTGGGTGTAATATACTGTCAACTGTACAAACAATCCGTAAATTGACCTGGGTGTAATATACTGTCACCTGTACAAACAATCCGTAAATTGACCTGAGTGTAATATACCGTCACCTGTACAAACAATCCGTAAATTGACCTGGGTGTAATATACTGTCACCTGTACAAACAATCCGTAAATTGACCTGGGTGTAATATACTGTCACCTGTACAAACAATCCGTAAATTGACATGGGTGTAATATACTGTCACCTGTACAAACAATCCGTAAATTGACCTGGGTGTAATATACTGTCACCTGTACAAACAATCCGTAAATTGACCTGGGTGTAATATACTGTCACCTGTACAAACAATCCGTAAATTGACCTGTGTGTAATATACTGTCACCTGTACAAACAATCCGTAAATTGACCTGAGTGTAATATACCGTCACCTGTACAAACAATCCGTAAATTGACCTGGGTGTAATATACTGTCACCTGTACAAACAATCCGTAAATTGACCTGGGTGTAATATACTGTCAACTGTACAAACAATCCGTAAATTGACTACTGTCACCTGTACAAACAATCCGTAAATTGACATGGGTGTAATATACTGTCACCTGTACAAACAATCCGTAAATTGACCTGGGTGTAATATACTGTCAACTGTACAAACAATCCGTAAATTGACCTGGTTGTAATATACTGTCACCTGTACAAGCAATCCGTAAATTGACCTGAGTGTAATATACCGTCACCTGTACAAACAATCCGTAAATTGACCTGGGTGTAATATACTGTCACCTGTACAAACAATCCGTAAATTGACCTGGGTGTAATATACTGTCAACTGTACAAACAATCCGTAAATTGACCTGGGTGTAATATACTGTCACCTGTACAAACAATCCGTAAATTGACCTGGGTGTAATATACTGTCAACTGTACAAACAATCCGTAAATTGACCTGGGTGTAATATACTGTCACCTGTACAAACAATCCGTAAATTGACCTGAGTGTAATATACCGTCACCTGTACAAACAATCCGTAAATTGACCTGGGTGTAATATACTGTCACCTGTACAAACAATCCGTAAATTGACCTGGGTGTAATATACTGTCACCTGTACAAACAATCCGTAAATTGACATGGGTGTAATATACTGTCACCTGTACAAACAATCCGTAAATTGACCTGAGTGTAATATACCGTCACCTGTACAAACAATCCGTAAATTGACCTGGGTGTAATATACTGTCACCTGTACAAACAATCCGTAAATTGACCTGGGTGTAATAAACTGTCAACTGTACAAACAATCCGTAAATTGACCTGGGTGTAATATACTGTCACCTGTACAAACAATCCGTAAATTGACCTGGGTGTAATATACTGTCAACTGTACAAAGAATCCGTAAATTGACCTGGGTGTAATATACTGTCACCTGTACAAACAATCCGTAAATTGACCTGAGTGTAATATACCGTCACCTGTACAAACAATCCGTAAATTGACCTGGGTGTAATATACTGTCACCTGTACAAACAATCCGTAAATTGACCTGGGTGTAATATACTGTCACCTGTACAAACAATCCGTAAATTGACCTGGGTGTAATATACTGTCAACTGTACAAACAATCCGTAAATTGACTACTGTCACCTGTACAAACAATACGTATATTGAACTGGGTGTAATATACTGTCACCTGTACAAACAATACGTATATTGACCTGGGTGTAATAAACTGTTACCTGTACAAACAATACGTATATTGATCTGGGTGTAATATGTTGTCATTTATTTGAACAATTTGTATATATTCTTCTTCACTTATTGTTTTTCGTTGAGTTTGACAGAAAACATTTTGCTTGTTTTCCATTATGGACCTCTGCGAATTAAACATTTCCTAAAAAAACTTTTTTTTCCGTTTCCGTAAATCTTGACATTTATCATTTTAATTGCTTTTACAATGCTCGTGTTCCCTTCATTAATATTTATAGAGGTAGAG